TCCACGTATAACTTCTGATGTCACTACTAGTTGTTTTCTTTATCAAAATGTGATGAATTCTCGTGTAACACTAAGACAATAATCCATTACTCTATCACTATGAGTTTTCTAGCACATCAAATATAATAATTTAGAGAGATTAAACGTTCACGATTTTTTTTTTAAGTTTTGAAAGTACATTTATTTAAGTCTAAATTAAATAACTCTAAAATGCTAAAATGTTTCGAGCCGTTTCGTTAAACTTATTGTCATGATAATTTAATAGTAAATCAATTGACAAAAACAAAACCCAATTAGCAACTTTATTCATTTAAATATAATTATTTAAACCATTGAAGAATAGGGTTGTTTTTGCAAGATCTAATTATCACGAGTCTTTTGATTAACTTATATAATGATATTGTAATAGAAAACCATCAAATAATACTTAAAAATAAAATTATATGTTTTATTATTTTAAATTTAGTACTGCATCATCAACATTTTTTTTTTTCAAATTTTAAAGATTTATGACTAAAATTTAATATTTATAAGCAAATTAAGAGACTGATTTAAATCGGATATTTTTATGTTAGTTTTAAAAAAATAATTATATTTTTATAAAGTTTTTATTTATGTTATAAATACATTGATTATAGATTACGGGTTTCTTTGAGACAGTTTTTTATATGTTTTACTTTTCATATCATATCGCCGCCACTCTTCTATTTGATGAATTATTTTTTCATTATTTTTTAAAAATTTATATGATAGAAAGCTTTTCTTTCAAGCATGAGTTGTTAAAATGTGGTTGCTACTAGAAAAGTGCAATCCGACCTTTTGAAAATAAAATTAATTTTTAATAGCTACAACTGTTTTTTGAAAAACAAATTTTTCTGCAACAGCTTTACGACTGATTCTTTAAACAGTTGCATCTGCCTCAAATAAACCCTGCAACTGTTGAAGAAGCAGTCGTTTGCCAAAAAAAATATTTTTTAGAAAGCTACAGTAACTAATACAAATTTATTTTATTTTCAAAAAGTCTCTTTGCAACTAGTGCACTAACAACTCATGTTAAAAAAACAACTTTCTACCATAATTTTTTAAAAAACAGCATGCAATTCTAAAAATAGAGCGCCGACAACTGTCTGAAAAGCAAAGCAAAGAAAAAGATGTCTCAAATAGACTCTAAAAAGCTTGATAGTTCTCGTTTTTATCTTAATTAAAAAAAATTATTCCCAGCAAATGAAAAATATCAAAAAAAAATAATGAAATCAATTTAAAAATAAAAGCTTTTCTTGATTTAGAGTTCAGAATTCCTTTTCGGCCTCCTAATATATCTATACTTCATAAGATAGAATTTTAAAATGTGTTGTAAAACTTGTAGAAAAATACTACTGTAGTTAAAGTCTGGTTTTTTAAATGATATAAACAATAGTTCATAAAAAAAAAATAGACTAACCTTCTGCATTACAATTCTACATTACAATTGTAATGTAGCATTACAATCACAATTAATTAATTAGACAGAAGGTTCTCAAGAATGAATCTACTCAAGCACTCACTAGCTCTGCTTCCAGCAACATTTATCCAGAATCCTGCCAAATCCTATGCACCATGCCTTCTAATGAATACTTGCACTCATTTAACAAATAAAGTTTTTGTCGGGGCATACTGGGAAACCTACACTATAAACTCAAAGTTTGCCTGTCTAACACTTCAACTTTGCTTTTTTAAATTTATACCTATCACCATTTTAATGTTTTAAAAGTGAAACAC